TCAAAGACTGTGAACAAAAATGCATAGGAAAGAGGGGAAGGACAATCAGCACAAGGATCAAAGAACATCAGCGACTATGGAGAAAAATCGATACGGAGAGATTGGTGATAGCTGAACACATTGACGGTTACTGGAACCTCTAAATGACGATGTCGACTACGATGTAGGCGAAACGTTTCGGAACCTACAGAGTTACTGGTCCAATGCTGGAAATCACCAACATTATAGCAGAGGACACAGGACTATGTACATTCCACAAGGTCGCCCTGACACTCCGCCCAATTTGCGAAAATGAGGTCGAACCAACACTATAAAGCGAAAGGAGACGGCGACCAAAGAGAAGGCCACACCATCTTATTCGTTACATCTTTGTCTACTACATAGTTGTGGTATCTCTCCTTCTCTCCTGGTGTATTCACCTATTCTATATTCTCGTACTACCCCTTCACTATCACTATTTGTACTTGCTAACTTAAAACTTGTTCCGGTGTACTCTTTTAATCGGAGTTAGTAGGACCTATTAACACTCCCCACTGGTTCCCCCAACTCTCTCTCCCCCCCACCCCCACCCCCACTGGGCTAGATGTGTCAATCCGAGTCAGTTCTTTTAGTCCTCAATCCATTTTATCCATGTCCAATCAGAGTCTTTTTCTGACCCCATAAGATCCGCCTCTTATCTCTCTGGTTCAATGATGTATCTCGATCACTGCCACCATATCCGTGCCACTCGATGAGCTATTTTCCACACTGCCTCAAGCTCTTGTTAGCACGTATACACCAGCCTCTCTGAGCAATACCCCAAAGTCTAGATTCTCAAGTAGCATATAAACCTAATTTGACTCTGCAGATTCCCTTATCATTGTGAGGCAGTCTAGCCTTAACTTTATGAACCATTCCTATGATCAAACTTGTTTACTAATAGACAATCATCGATGGACTATGGCCAATCTTTTGCTCTTCTATCCATAATATTAAGACTATAAGACTTGTAATTTCTTTTCCTAAAATGAAAAATATTACCCTGGTCCAGTCATCGTCTTTTTTTGATATTGCTTTTCTCTGATCTCCTCAAAGTTTGCTTAGGCAGTATGCAAAATTTTTGCTAATCCTGCCTTTCCAAGTCTCATATCCATTAGATTTATTTCAGTCATGATATTGCTAGCTTCTCATACCTTGCATTTTCGTGTATTTTAACCATATGCAGTCAGCCATACTATCAATTTCGTGTCCCATCCGTTCAATGCTTTGCGCTATTTTGGATCTTTCCGTATCAATATTTCTCCAGTCTAGTTTTCTTTGATTCGCAGGCTGATTGTTCTTCCTGTTTCACCAATATACATCTGCTCCCAGTTACCGCATTTTATGCGATAATCCCCTGAGCAATCCAGTTTGTCAACTTCCTAATGCTACGTTGGTAAGCTGGTGAAAAGTATTGTCTTTTCCTTTGTTATCACCTTGATATTCCATTGTCTTAGCAACGGCCGCAATTGCTGATTTAGTTCACAAGATGGCAGGAATATGCACTTTTGGTCGTAATTGGAACTCCACGAATCTGGTTAGGTCTCTCACATCCCACACCTAATTTGACTCATGAGAACGACATTCACGTATTACATGTCCCACTATTCACCTAAGTACACGTAACTATTACGGAATCAAGCTATACTTTACTTATCCAATGAGGCAGTCATGACCATATACACATTCTAATCATGTATTAACTTCACTTGGGGTAAGCATAAAGTAGCCAACCAAATCATGCGATACCTTAATAGGATAGCAGAATTAGGCATGAGTAGGATGATAGCCAGCCACCTTTCTTAATATAGTTTATTGGCGTATTTTTTGTTAATAATATCTTATGGCTCTGAAAATTTATCTCGCATGACAGCTCAGCTCAGATCCATCTGGCCAGCAGGAAGGTGAATCGTGGCAATATTACAATTACTGAATCTACCACAAATTAATATTCCTTCAAAATTAAAATTCGATTCAAGTTTCACACTAAAACAAATAATGATTTATGTACACATAGAAGAGATATTCTGCTTACAGAGTTTAGATCATAGCGATAGACACAACCGTGAGTTTTACAACCCACGAATAGATGCTCTCCCCGATGGTTTGGTATCACACAGCTCGGGCTAAGAGGGCAAGACAATTGCGTGATTAACTTTTTTGGAGACTGCACCGGCTGCAGATGTAACACCCCCAATCTATAGATAGAATCCATCTCTGGCTCCATGAACTCTGTCTCTGTCGCAACTGAATTTTGACCCCAACCTCCGCATAGTCGAGCTTGTCCAGACTTCTGATCTTTGAATACCTTCGTTTGAATTCGATCTGTTAGACCTGGCCTCCATGTTGCTGGAGTGATGATATATCTGTCGCCGGGTAAGAGACAGCATGGCATAGGGACTTGCATGACATAATTAGTTAAACGAGAACAGCTTGACAGGCTGAAAATCTCTATAGAGCTCGTAGTTGACGGTTGGAGGCAACCTAGCCTGCTGCCATTATGAGCTGCTTCAGCAGAGCTAGTGGATTGTCCGTAACAGGAACTCGTTTGTAGAAGAATGTGAGATTTTGTCAGACTGATAATCACTGAAGTGCAACCCAATGGCAGGGAAATCTCTCCTTCAATTTGGCCCTTGTTACAGTTTACAAGCAGCAAGCCGTTTAGCTCCTCGCATGAGTTATTCCGATTATCATTCTTAATATTTTCGGCATGCCAACGATAACTAATTAGAAGATGATTATCCTGATAAGCTGGACAAGAAATCTTGGTGAATACACGGTCTGGCCAACGTCCTAGGTTAAATACCTGAGATTTGGTTAAATATTTAGCATCCCACTTGATAAGAAACACATTCCCAGTCTCCTCCGGTCTAGATTTGCATGCTGCCAGAGATGAATTATGGCTTCTTTCTTGTAGCTGCTTGGTATTTGCAATTGATGAAACTCGTACTACTGTTCCTTGATGAGGACACTTATCAGAAGTGCATCGAGTAGGGCTAAGTGTGATGAGGAACCGATGATCTGCAGTCAAACAAACGAGATAGTCCACTGCTTTGGCCCGGCATACACGCACTTTTAAAAAATCAGGATGAATAGGTGGTAAATAGCAGACGGGCATTAGGGGTAGTAGATAGTTTAGTCCTGTTTGCCTGGTAGCTTTATCGAGACTACCAAGCAGCGACCTTCCTATAAGCGGCCATTCTGGTCCTGCCAGATGGCCTAGTCTGCCGGCCAGCTCCACGTTCAGTAGACCAGGCTCTTCACACAGCCGGGAAGCCAGAGAACGCAGTAGGTTAAGCAAAATATCAAACTGAACCTCACCACATAGAAACTCTGACTGACGGATGAAATACAGCTCAGAAATCAGATGATTTGGTCTGCTGCTTTGGAGTAATTTTGCCTAATTTAAGAAAAAAATCAAATATCTATCCTTATAAACAGCAGGAAGTAGCTTTCGTTCAGTTGAAATTGCAAATTTAAAGGATCATAAACTAAATTCTGCCTTCCGCATTCATATTTGTGCAAAATTTCTTTGGAAATGTGCTCTTGAGGATATATTCAAAAGAAACTCAAGAGAAAATATGAGAAATGCCGTTTTCAAAATCCTATCGCGTATTTTCTTGTTAATCAATAATGTATATAGCTGGGATATTACTCAGCTAGTTTAGTAAAATATATGGCTTGAAAAAACTCCACCTATGATAAATAAAAATAGCCGCCTATTTATAGTAGAAAAATACAAATTGGGCTAATGAATCTACTAGCTCTAAGTGTTGATTGAGATAACTGATTTAAAATCATAACCTAGACAGGAACAGCGATTCTTATTCAGTGTTTTATCTACTCTTTTTCATGCCAAACTAAGGCACACATATTTGTTTTTATAGGACTTTAAACCAAAGGTTGTCTCATAATCAAGTATGAAATTATTCTTTTTAGAAAAATGGCTTGCTTTTACAAGTTATTTTTTCAAATTTATACTAATTAAAAAAATGTTAAAAATCTATATTTTTCGTAACTTGGACTCTAAAGCCCCCGTCAATATTTGTCTTCAAAAGTGAGAACAGTGGTCACTTTGGTCCGAAGAGGTTGAAAAATGTTTCCGATCTCAAAGCTCAAGAAAGTTTGTCATATTTATGAAAGTGTTAAAGGATCTATTTATGACCTAAATTCAGATGAGAAACAATACATTTTATCCATGAAACGAAAGAGCAAATTATAAGGAGTCATTGTTTAAGCT